ATGCGGAGTTTCGATATGTTAAAGAAGGTGGTTCATATAGTAATCTATCTATGGCTCTACAGCCCTTGTGGACCCTGGCCGCTTCTTCAGTTTCTTAATCTATACACAGTCGGTAGGGCTCCTTGGACGGGGGATCAGCTCATCCCAAGGCTGCTACCGACACACAGAACAAGACGAACACATAATTATGTGTTTATTATAATAAACGCACACAGACATCCATGCCTCGAGTGGTATTCGAATCCACGATCCCAATGTTCGAGCGGGTGAAGACGGTTCGTGCCTTAGACCGCGCTACTACTGTGATCGGCCCGTATAGTAAGCACTGGGCTTTAAAGGGTTACGCAGGCGAGAATGGGCTAGTTTAAGAAGTTATCTCACCTTTTCATTTATCGATACCGTATGTAGGCGAATAATTTATCTTTGCGTTCAAGTATTCTCTGGTCGAGTGGATGGGAGTGCAATGGAGTAGCACTGCCGGGTGTCGAATCTGGGCCGATTCCTTGCAAATCAGACTGGCACTTCGAGGGTTAGTCTACTCATGAAAGACGATGGAGTGGTATCATATATATAGGCTGTTCCAAAAGGCGTAGGCAAATGGAGCATGAATAAAACCGTTTGCAGTTCTGCCTAAAACTTTTTCGTTGCTATATTTTCCCCAATTAACGGACTGTAGATGCAAAATAAACTGAAGTGTTTTTTTCTTTTGTTTGCCTTGGCAACTGTTGTGGTAAAGTGTAGCATTTTTTAGAGGAAATGTTCGAAGTGACATCCTTGAGCCGCTGTGCAAGTCTCTGCGTTCTCTGGATTCCAGTATCCATCGTGTGCTGCTTGTGAGAGCTTTTGTTTAGATAGGAACATCTTGTATGTGACTGGGTTGCTTTGGCGAGGCCTCCTTTCTCACGTAATGTCCCCCAGATTGAGCGCTTCCAGCTAATTGCATTTACAGTTTAATTGGACTATATTCAGTGCGCCGTTCGCTCTTGCTGGTCTCTTGTTTTGAGATCTACTCGGGATCCTTTCATATTTTAGTACGTACTTTTCACGAATTGCATGAAATGAATGCATGGAGGCTGTGCCCGTCCGGCCGTGCGTTTCGTCTCAGTTGATGAAATTTAATACACGTTTTATACACTGAAAATTTCTCAGCGAATTTTATTCTTGCTTCGAATCGGTGTTAAAAAAGCTTTCATTTTATGTGGAGCACGTCAAATTTTTATAGGAGATTGTATATGAATACCAGTTTCATTGAAGGCTATAATGTTCTGTTTGTAACAATCTTTTTATGGCGAAATACAGTACACAGCGGCTGCGTTGTCTGAGGCCCGAAATGTTTCCAATCGCTCGAACATTAGGATCTGAATTTCACTCGTGGCATGTACGTCGTATGCATGTCCGCGTGTTTTATATGAATGTGTTGTCCCAGTGAGATGAGCAGATCCCCGGAAAAAGGAGTCCTGCTAAATGTCTTAAAGTATTCGTAAACTAAAAAGATGTCTCTGTGCTTAACTAATTGAACACCACTCCACGAAGACGTATAGGGGAGTGAATTTATAGATCCACATATCCTTGACCTCGGCACTAGGAAGTGACTGGTCAGTTTCACGCCCCGGTCGCTTTTCTCCCCTGGGAAATAGGCGCCGGTACCCGTTGGATGGAGGCTCGATGGATCGAAGAACCGGTATGGACGACGTGGAGAGGAAAAAATCTTGCCCCTAGCGGGTCTCAAACTCCGACCTCTTAGCCGCCCAGCCCGTAGCCAGTAGTTATACCGACTGCGCTATTCCGGCTCACCTAAGTATTCGTACTTCGACAAATTAGGTCTGAATCGAAAAAGGCCAAAGGGTCTAATTCATAAAGGCCGAATAATAATTCAATTCAATTCAATTCAATTCTTTATTATTTATGTGCCAAGTCAACAGCCGCAAGGCCAATTACAGACTTAGCACATTGTAGATGAAAGTAACTACTTGTAAATTTTACAAACATTAGACAAACACATTATCAGTCAAAAATAAGTTACAGGTAATTTATGAAGAAAAGTAAACAAACAAGCTAATAAATGATAATAATAAATAATAATAATAATAATAAGAAGAAGAAGAAGAAGACAAACGGTACGAGGAAAATTGTGTTATTCCTGTGTGCAGGTAAATTCTGCACTGTTTATTAGATTTGTCAACAGTAGACGTGTATCTTCAATAAGCAAACGTCAAGATAACAGGGATGCAAACTCTCAAAGAGACACTCGGAAAACATGAATAGGGCAGAACGAAACTGCAGTGAATCTTTCCGCTTATTTCGTTTCATCTGCTCCTCGGAGCGTGCGCGCTTGATTTTGCTCCGTAAGCACTGTAGGAGCGGAACGCTGATTTAACAAGTACTTATGACGTTTGTGTTTTAAAGTCCCAACCAAAATGTGTTCATAGCTTCCTAGATTTTACGGCGGTAATTATTCGGATTGTGGGCATTTGGGGTGTGACACCACATAGGTTTCTAGGCGGATGTCGACGTTTCGAAGGAACATTCCGTCTCCACCTTCAGGTCTGATGTGTAAGTTTAATAATTAGCTCACGTGTATGTGTTAATGACTTCTTAGTTCCTTTTCTTACAATTTGGCGACAGGAAAGGGAAAATAGCCAGATAAGAGAGGAAATTAAATAATGAGAACTTCATACTTTATACTAAAGTAGCACAACCTTGTTACATTTGCTTATTGAACACTCACTCTTCGCTTTTTTTTTATTGCTAGTGGTGTGGGACAAAGTCCCTTGTACTGCGGCCACTTCTGGCCTATTGTACCAGCCCCAGATTATAGGTGAGGGAGGGAGATTGTGGAGCAATTGGTGGAATGAAAATTGGCAGGGGAAACCGAAGTACTCGGAGAAAACCTGCCTCTGCGCCACTTTGTCCACCACAAATCCCACTTGACCAGACCCCGGGATCGAACCCGGGCCGCCGCGGTGGGAAGCCATCGACTAACCGCTTGAGATATGGCCCGGCCATCACTCTTCGCTTTAGTCACGTCTTCAGGAATGTCTGATTTATTCACAAGTTACGACATGTTTCTGGGGCATGCGGTAACGTAGTTTGTTGAGGCACTATGCTACAAGCCCGGAAGGTCACGGGTTCGATTCTCGCTCAGGTCATTGGATTTTTCAATTAACCAAATCCTTCCAGCCGCACTATGGTCCTGGGATATACTCAGCCTCTGACAGAAATGAACCAGGAATCTTCGTGAGGGGTAAAGGGCGGCGGGCGCGTAAGGCTGACAACCTCACCGCCATCTTTGAGCTGATTGTCTAGAAGATGTGAGAGCCTCGATCTCTCAGAACCCTATGGGCGTCCGCCGCCTCTTACATGGATAGCTTGGCCTTTTCGTATTACGAAAGTTTATTATTTCTGAATAGAGGACAGTTACCTTGTCTTGCATCCAGTTTGAGTGACCGGAAGTGGGGCAGAGTCACCGCAGGATGAAAATTCGTAGTTTTCTGGAGACGTAAATTTGTGTCTTGACGTGTACCTGCCACAGTTTATCTTCGGTAGGGTAATAGAAGATGACGGCTTCCACTGGTGAAACTATTAACGACGCCCCTTTTCACGTCAGTTGAGTCAAGGTCATATTTCAGGATCAGAAGGATTTCAACGACGAAATTAAGAAATAAGACATTATTTAATGCTTAACGAATGTCCACATGTATTCGTTGACTCCATAATGAAGCCATCGAGAGGCAATCGTCCTCCTTCAGATACAATATTTAGGGCACTGTCATTATCCCATATGTTTAAAGTAACTCCGAGAAATTCAAACGCATTATAAACCGTTTCAATGTCGTGGCCGTTTTCAGAACTAAACATACACTCGGAGAGATATTGATGGAAACTGGACTGGTTAGAGATTCCCAGCAGACGAAGCAGTGTATGTGCAATATCCCATGTGATGTATCAGATGTTATATATTGGCGAAAGAAGCAGACCTCAGAAGTACGCATTAAGGAGCACAGTATAACCTGTCACAAGGTGTTTTTGGAAAATAAAAATTAGGGCAACATGCGTACGAAGAAGGTGAAAAAAATGTTGGAAGACGCGAAGGTCTTGCCTTATGGAACGAAACACCACATACAGGAAATACAGGGAATCCGCCCACATGTCTCTGGCAGGTCATCGGATCAGTTAACCCAGCTTGGACATCTCTTCCATGTTGACTCCCATCATCGCAGCAAAAGTCAGGAAACTACAACTCCGTCCAATTAAACGAGAAAATTTGTGTTTTTGTGTTGGTATTATATAGAGAATTTATTTCACTTGTGATGACATATATTCTGGTAGTAGTCTGGTTCCAGGCCTCATGTGTGGTTTATTTAAAGTTTGTAATGTTTGTGTTAACTCTCGCACCTGGCTTGTGCTGTGCTTGGATTGTATACCCCATCTTATGTTGGTGCAGGTGTACGGAGGTACGAACTAGCTGTATCGATTGAGCGCAACTAAGTAGGATTAATCTGAAGACGGTGACAGAATCCAGTATCCGAAACGTTATTTTAAATAAAAAAGACGAAATAGATAATGTCCAGAAACACAGTAGTTTGTATTATTGTACCTTCGTCAGAAACTTTTAGAACAGGAAAAATGTTGTGACAGGAATGGAGGATTAGCTTGTGACGATCTGTTTCCGCTTGCTTAGGTTATTGCCCGAGAGGAGTCAGTTATTCTATTGAGCCAGCCAGCATATGAGTTAGAAGGAGAGGACGGTGGTAGTACTGTTCGTCAGTACTGGTATGGGATCAAATAATGAAGATTAAATTTGCTAGTCTTCCAGCTAATATGCGGGAAATACGATATTCATGTTATTGGGAAACCCTGAAGGAAGGGGGCGCTTGGGAAAGCCGTGTTCTAGGCGCCTTAAACAAGTGGGATCACCTGTGAATCCCAGCTAAGAAACTGAAGAAACTAACGAAATTAATAATTTTTACCCTACAATAGTTTTGTTTCTAAAATTTTAGAGCTACATAACTCTTGTCTTGGAGCTGAGGGTGAGCGACAGGTTGAAATGGAAGACTCCAGATTCACGACCCCTTGTGACTATGATGATATTTCCGGGATTGTCGCCGAACGACCAGCGAGAAACTGTGTAACGGGTTAGAAGCCAGGACACTAACTACATATCTTACGAATAGCAGATCGGCGTCTGTCGAAGTGAGAACAATGCTTGCGTGTGTGTGTACGCCGCCGGATACTCGCCTCTTCTCGGCGTCTAGTGTGGGAGGCACGAAAATAAAGACGCCCAGTAGACGGGGGATTACTGAAGGTCCGTCATTCGCTTCTCTGCCGGTGCCCACCACGCATTTGCCAAGCCGACGGTCACCTCCCGCCACCACCAGTAGCGCTACCGTCGCGAACAGCATTGTTGTCACCACTCCTCAAGTTACGGAGAATGAACTGGCAACCCCTGATCCCAAAGAAAGTGAAGACAACTCTTCCGATGTACAGGTGAGGTGCACAGTGTTCAGTGTTTCATCTCATGTATCAAGTGTTGGTATGTGGCCTAGAACTCAATGGCATGCCCTCAAAACATCCCCTAGGGTAGATTTCCACTACCTGCAAGTTGGTACAGATATCCCTATATTTTTTTAATAGAATAGAATAATTTTAATAGAAAGTAATTTCAACCTATGTTTGGTAGCAGGCTCTCCCCTTACCAAAGTCCACGTGCTCTTCTGTAATGATCCTTTAGTAAACGTCATAAAATTAGAATTAGCTCTGTATCCATGTACTTATATTCCGCTCTCAACGGTATAGAGAACTCTGTATTAAGAGAATGGCCGCTCCATAGCTCAAGCAGTTAGTCACTGGCTTCCCACCGCGGCTGCCCGGGTTCGATCCCGGGTCTGGTCAAGTGGGATTTGCGCTGGACAAAGTGGCGATGGGGCAGGTTTTCTCCGAGCACTTCGGTTTCCCCTGCCAATCTTCATGCCACCAATTGCTCCACAGTCACCCTCACCTATCATCTGGGGCTGGTACAATAGGCCAGAAGTGGCCGCAGTACAAGGGACTTAGTCCCACCCCACTAGCAATGAAAAATGTTTAACACGAAAACACAGCAGGACAAGGACATTGGAGCAAAATCCGTAAACCCAACTTAACTATTGCACATGCTTGTAGTACTACAGATACTATGATTAATGCTATTTTGTATTTATGGAGAGCTTGTTACTTAAGGGGATCTTATACGTACGTGTCTGGCTCGCGAGTCCGACTCGGCTCGGGTTCCAGTGAGCCAAACTCGTCTGTGTGATGGTCGCAAAGTTGGGAGTCAGCTCATGCGTTCGTGGACGAATTAATTCGAGCCCTGCTCCCGAGTCAAGCTCGCCGAGCCAGACTCGTACGTGTATGGGCCACTTTAGATGCACGTTAACTCTACGTTAAATTTGTCGGACATAACATCAAAGTTTCGAAAGGGTGCAATGTTTGTAATAGTTCATTTATAAACAATAATTTACGCAGGTGTTCTAGGTATTTTTACGGTATATCTGCTAGATTTCACAAGCTCAACGCTAAAGCTTTATTAATTATCGAAAACTAAATGTAATTTTTATGCACCCGTTGTTTTGTTATTTGATCTCCTACGGAAAAGTACCTTGCAACATTTCAGAGCCCTAAATAATGATCACTGTTTGCGTTCTCCCATAAAAAATTCGCGCCTTCGCTACGTTATTATCATTGATTGTAGGAAATAAGATACATTGTTGGAGTTTCCTTCAATGGCAAAATTCAGTCAAATTTCTTGAAATCTTGTCAGTTCAAAATTTCAAATGGGGCCACTTGCGGTATGACAGTCTCATAAGCTCGCTTGATTTTCTTCATGTGTTTTGAAAATGTATGAATAGTTGCTTTTTTCGGTTTATAAAATTTTGTTTAGTATTGTGTTTTCCGGAATTTATCTGCGAAGGAACACTTCTTTCACAAATGGGAAAGAATTAAGCTCGAAATCTGTGTAGGGCCTACAGCAGTTCAGTAAGTTACTGAAGAAAGCCAGAAAGAGAAAGAAACGAAAGTTCGAAGTATTCAATAAGTGTGTGGTGTACATGAATTTATGGACTGATGATCTTCATAAGAATCACTGCAACTCTATACATAGAGGTCGTAAATGGGACATGTACTTCTACTGTCGAACTATCTTCTTGTCTAGGGGATATAATTCGTGTTAAGCAGAACCCTGTCTCGAATATGGAAATACGCAGTCTCATGTGATTCTGTAATAATCAAGTTTTTCTGTATATGCCTAACATTAATTACCATGACAAAAGTTTGCTAAACGATTTCTTACATGCGTAATCCCATAATATGGTTGTTGGTGTCGCTAGCTCGAACAGGTAAGGCGTAATCTCTCGTTACTCTCTACATAGTCCGTGGGAATGGAAAAATAAATTAAGATTACTGTGTTCTGGGATGTGACGCCGTGTATATTAGAGTAGTTATCAACGCTCCCTAGGAATCTCCTTCTTCGAGGAAAGATGTATTTTATTATTATTATTATTATTATTATTGGAGGGGGTGGGTTTCCCCATGCACCCCGACTAATAGTCTATTGTACGTCCCCCTTTGATATTCTACCAGTCGCCATACCCTGCCGGTACTGGTGCTCGCTATCAGCCCCGTTCAACCAGCGAGGCTGGCAGCGGTACCCGATACTTCCCCATCTACCGGAGGCATTGGAAACTACTTGGGCGGGAAAGTTGCCTAATTTTGCTCAGAGGTCTCCTAGAGACATGAGGATCTTTTACGTGCCATAAATCTACGATACGGGAGCCACGGCTTAAAGTCCCTCCCGGAGGACTTGTTCCCTGAATTTTTCCGCCCTTAAAAATTCCACGACCTCCGCCGGGTTTGAACCCGCGTACCTTGAGTCATGAAGTGGGAACGTTACCCCTAGACTACGGAGGCCGCTAAGGAAGGATGTAAGTAATAGGGTCCTCCGAAAGTCTGATAGATTGTTATCATTGTTTCGGAGGACGTTGCTGTCTCGGTCTTCAACGGAATATGGACGCTCTTCCGAAACGTTAGTAGCTATCTAGCAGGCTACAGCGCGTCACATTTCAGAGGGTGGACCTTCATAGTCGCCGCCCTGAGAGTTTCAAATCGCCGATTTCGTCTCTCAGTTGTAAACTGCAAAGGCACAATTTAATTTGTTGTTGCAAGATTCTCGTTCCGTTGCTGTCCGTGCGGTTTTGTTGTCTCTGGGCTAACTCCCTTCATCCATAGATTGATCTGTAATTTTCTTCGAAAATATAAGCACAACATTTCGGTAAAACCTACTGGTTTTGAAAGAGTCGCTGGTATAGTAACAACACTTTTAATTGTTATCAAACTCCTTTTATTCTTGTCTCTTGCAGCTTCTATCTTTTCGATTTCCAGTTCATTACAGAGTTATGCCTACAACATACAACAGACAGGTGCGCGTAATTGATTCGCATATTTTTAATGCTAACGTAAGAAATTAAATTCTTTCTTCCATGCACTTACGAGTATGACTTTAGTTCATGTCTTTGGCACTTGGCATGTTGTTAAATGTGAATGGACTGACAGTTGCTTTGGCAGTGTTTGTATTGCATATGCATGTTGGAACCAGTGTATCCTGATCAGACTGCAGTGATAGCGTACGCTGTTTCCATCGCAAAAAGTTTATCCACAACGTCAGCCGGTTGGAAGAGTGTAGCTCAGTGATACCTGCGGTGTGCAGAGTGTCCCAGGAGGAAGGGTCAATATTCTGGTAGGTCAGAGTATCGGTCATTCTAAGGAAAAAAGCATATATGTACATGTGTCCTATTCCAAACGGTTTCCGAGATAGAGCTATTTCACTCTACATTAGTACACAGTACAGTGGTAATAGCAACACACTATATCCTTAGAGTTGCAAAGTACATTGATGTTGACGGTGGAATTTTCGAAAATATACTAGGTAAACTGTACCAACTTTGTCACTTGAACAATAAATACCGTTATTAGAAACATTACGTAATATGTAGGATTTGAGGTTCTAGTTTCTTGCTCGGCTGATTTTCGACAATGAAGATGGAGGTGATACGTTCCTCCGAAACGTCGGTTTATTTACGGACTACGCTATATCACAGAAGATGACAATTTTCATTACGTAATATATCCTCCGTATTAACAATTTTGGAACTGTACTACAGTGAAATAGCTCTATCTCGGAAACACATGTACATATACATTTTTTTTGCTTACAATGACTGTACTGTGGCCTTCCAAAATATGAGCTTTCCTATTGGGCACTCTGTATATCTCATTGGCGAGGTAGTGGGGCCGTCAGCACAACAACGAAGTAAATTAATTTTTAATGTCGCATCTATGAAAACATAAATATAAAAGCAGAAAAATAATCTCTCCCTGTACTGAGAATTAAACACAAATCCAAGAATATAATGAAGAAAACTGGCCTTAATGTTCAAAAATACAATTTTAATTTGTGAATTGAGTAGCCTGGTACCGCATTTCCCGAATATCATGACGTTAAGGGAGGACTGTAGCCTGAGGGTGCTTGAGAACAGGCCGCTGAGGGGAATGTTTGGACCGAAGAGAGATGAAGTGACAGGAGGTTGGAGAAAACTGCATAATGAGGAGCTTCGTAACTTGTACTCTTCTCCAAGTATAATTAGTATGATCAAGCCAAGGAGGATGAGACAGGGAGGGCATGTAGCACGAATGGGGAATAAGCGGAATGCATATAGGATATTGGTGAGAAAGCCAGAAGGAAAGAGACCAGTGGGAAGACCAAGACGTAGGTGGGTGGACAATATTAAAATGGATCTTAGAAATATAGGATGGGGTGATTTGGACTGGATTGATCTGGTTCAGGATATGTACCAGTGGATTTCTCTTGTGAACACGGTAATGAACCTTCGGGTTCCATAATATGTTGGAATGTTCTTGAGTAGCTGCAGAACTTGCGGCTTCTCAAGAAGGGCTCAGCTGCAGGAAGTTAGTTAATTATATTTCGTTTTGTCTTGAAAATTGTTCATGTACCATTTCTAGTGTTTGTTGTGCCACGCATGGCACACGTGCCACTTGTTGACACCACTGGTATAGAAGAAATGTCGTGTCTTCCTCTATGGCTTTACAACCCTTTGGTCCTTGGCCACTCTTTCAGTTTCTTAATCCTATACACGGTCGCAGGACTCCTTGGAAAGGGATCTGCCAGTCGCAAGACCGCTTCCTACACATGATAACACAAACAGAATAAACGCATACAGACATCCATGCCTTCAGTGGGATTTGAACCCACGACCACAGTGAGCGAGCGGGCGAAGACAGTTCATGTCTGAGTCCGCGCTGCCACTGTGATCAGCAGGAAAGTCGTTTTATAGGCCTGAGTCGGTAGTGACCATATTGTTCAGTCTTAGTTTTTTCTAAGTTTCTTGGGGTGGAGTGAGACTGAGTCCACTTGGTATGTCGGCCATTAACTGGCCTGT